GGGGGAGAACTTGGAGATACTATATATCTAAAACTCAACTATCAATAACTTTGTGAATCACAGTTCTTTCATAAAATTTCCAAAAAATATTTAATGAGAATCCCTCTAAAAATGAGCTTCTGAATTATTTTAGTATACAAAAGCTAAGGCTGAGCATTTATAAAATTATGTAAAATGAAGAAAGGGTAAAAAAAAGGAAACAAAGTTAAAATTTGTAAAGGGGCGCAGGAGAAAACTTCAGGCTCCATTGGTTTATTTAACTTTTAAATCTTATTAAATTTGCTAGATGCATGTTAGCATTCATGGTTCATTTGCTTTTATTCTGACTTCTATAAATAGGCACAGTATGAGCCCTGATAAGTGACTTGAAATCTTGTCTGATTTCAAAAATAAATTAGGATGTTAAATCTTAAAAATACTCATACAAATGAACGAAGCTTGGTTTCCTCTACTCCCATCTACCCACCTATTACCCTCCACCCCACGACCACAGCCCCCCACCCTGCTCTATGCCTGGGATCATTTCTGCCATCCTTGCTCTATATTTTGGCTCTGCATTTATAAAATCTGGCATTCTCTCAAATCACTTCGATCTGACTCCCCTGCAAAAACAAACAGGAGCTACCTGGAGCCGTGGATTTCCACTCATTGACATTCTGTGCGTGCCAAGGGTGGGAAGGGCATGTTAGAGTTGGTTGCAGTCAGTCAAACTCAGCATGGAACAGCCCTTATCAAGCCATGCAGTGTTTTTCTGCCTCTGAACATGCCAGCATTGGTTTCTCTAGCATTATAAATGGAAACATATGTAACTGCCACAAAACTGAAAGATCTAAATCCCAAAGTCCAGCCCAGAAGAAGCCAGAGAGTACATACGGTTAAGATGTTTGCCTTGTATGTGGCCCGTTCGAGTTTGATTTCCCGCACCCTCTATGGTCCCCTGGACCCTACCAGGTACAGTCCCTGAGCCCAGAGCCAGGAACAAGCCTGAGTACCACTAAGTGTGGCCCCAAATTTAAAAAAAAAAACCCAACAATAAAAAAAACAAAGTTCAGGCCAAAAAACAACAATAAAAAAAACAAACTTCTGGTACAAGCAGATAAGGTCTATTTAAGTTCATAAAGGGGACAGAAAGTGAGTGGAGGGTAAAATCCGTATGACCTAAACAGTATATGGCACACAAAGGCAAGCTTGAAATTCCAGGTAATTTGATTATGCAGAATTCTTATTTAAATAATGAGCAGTTCACACCTAACACTGAACTGCCACTCTGTGGGCAATTAGTTGGTTTGTAGCTTTCTAAGCTGCCTTCAGCTAAAGAGTAATGTCAGTTTCATATACAGTCACTGCATATGACAGTTCCACCTGTTAAATCCTACTGTGCTCCTCTCTGCTCTGTCTATAGAGTTATGGTCATCTACACTGTTTATTCACTAAAAGCATTTCTGAGCTCCCAAGAAGATAGAAATCACTTGACAGCAAAACAAAAACAATTTAGACATGATATTTGGTACTGTTACAAAGCTCAGTTCTACTCAACAAGATTATATACCTTCGTATTTAATTTCTCTATTTAATTGGGAAGAATTTATATTAAATTATTTTTTGTCCCGGGGGGAGGGAGTAATGACAGAAGAAATTGAGTCAATAAAATAATTAAAACTTTTACAACTTTAATCTCCTTCTCTTTTTTCACCAAACTTTAGAAGACCTTTTAGGGTTTAAAAAAGCAAAACAGAGGGGCTGGAATGATAGTACCGCGGGTAGGCATTTGCCTTGCATGCGGCCAACCTGGGTTTGATCCCCGGCATCCCATATGGTCCCCCAAGCACTGCCAGGAGTAATTCTTGAGTGCAGAGCCAGGAGGAACCCTTGCGCATTGCTGGATGTGACCCCCCCCAAAAAAAATAAATAAATAAAATAAAAAGCAAAACAGAATGTCCTGAGGATTGTAGTTTGGGAGTTGCAGCAAACTCTTTCTGAGAGAAGCCATATTTGACTTTGGTTGGGTCAAGGCAAAGTTCTCCTGCTTTGTTGCTTTGGGGTCACACCTGGCAATGCTCAGAGGTTAGTCCTGGCTCAGCAGTCAGGAAGTACTCCTGGTAGTGCTAAGAGACCTTATGGAATGTTGGGGGTCAAACCCAGGTCACCCTCTGTACTATTGCTCCAGGCCCAATCAAAACAAAGTCTTTCAAACTCTTTAGCACCAATTGGGATCTCAGACAATGGCCAGACTGTCCTGGTCAGTGAAGACCATTGCAGTCTTCAGCTGCAATCACTGTACATGTCCATCATTCCCCCCTGTAAATATGCACGAGTTTCTGAAAAACTGCTGACTAGATGTAGACTCTTACCTCACCACAAGTCTACCACGCATAAAGCTGGACCCTCCTACTTCTCTTCAAAATTTTGCTGTATAGCCTCTGTTGCTTAGATTAGTTTCCCAGCATGGCCGTCTTCTTGATAATAAAGCCCCACTATTCTATTAAAGCGTTTTTGTGCTTTTGGGGCAACATGAAAAACACTACTCTAGATACTTAGACTTCCCGATAAATGCAGGAGCTGGAGCAAGAGTACCATGAGCAGGGCATTTTCCTTGCATGTGACAGATTTGGGGTCCGTTCCCAGCATCCCATATGGTTTTCTGCACACCACCAGGAGTAATTCCTAAGTTCAAAGCCAAAAGTAACCCCGAACACGGCCAGGTGTTGTCCAAAAGATTTTTAAAAAAAAGAATTCTAGATGAAATGTAGAGGGAGGAAAGAGAATGAGAAAGTACATGAAGAAAACTTTAGGGCTAGATCTAATGGAGCCCGTGGCAGTACCAGCGATTTATTCCCTGTCTTGGTAAGTACATGCTGGTGTAACCCTCATGGGAGACTGATCAATTGATTACAATTAGAGACATGGTTCTCAGCTCCCATCTGCCACAAGAGTCTGTCATATTCTCTCTGAACCTGGAATCTGCCATGGGACTAACTTTGGTCAAAAGGATATCAGTAAATGTGGTACACAAAAGGTTTGAATACCTGGGCTCCTTAATACCTTTACATTTTTAGGACTTGGGGAGGCACATCCAACGGGGCCACTCCTGCCTCTATGCTCAGTTATTACTCTTGGAAGTGCACAACAGACTGTATGCAGTGCCAAGTATCAAACCATGGCAGCCCAACTGCAATACAGGTGCCTTAACCCCTGTATTATCTCTCTAAAACCATTTTAAGGATTTTTCAGCTTTATTGAGGAACACTTGACAAATTAAAAAGTATAATGAAACCTTCGAACCACCCCAAATTAACTCCCATAACATTCTAATAACTGAGTTCACTGGTGTGTTAAAACAGGCGCTGAACGAGAGAAATGCCAAAGGTAGGATGCCACGGCAGTAGAAATTCTAACTTGGAAGTTAGAAGACCTGTACTGAGTCAGCTCCTAACACCCAATAACTACTTGTGCCAATTTGGAAAGGGAAAAGTGCTACTTATTACTTGAGTTCTTTTTCTGGCTCTGTAAAAGGAATGAAGTTATCAGGTTTACAAGGTTATTACAATCATTATGATATTAGCAAAATATTTTGCAAGCAAGATGCTGCTCAGTGGAAGGTAAACCACCCAGCAGAAGTACCATCTGGGTGGAGGTCTGCATTGATAAGCTGACAATTGACACAACTGTGAGTGACTGCCTCAGATAGGTGGAGAGCCTGTGTGAAGGAACTGCTCGTTAGAAAATTTTGCATGTCTGGGTTAGAAAAAAATAAAACAAGAATGACACCATGAGACTGATTTAGTCTGCAGCAGCAGATAGGGAGAGACACTCAGACCACAGAAAAGCGATGAGAGAAAAACCTCCCATCTTGTCATTCATCTACACGTGCCCTCAGCTGGCTGCATGTCCAATCCCCTGGGGCACTTCTGAAAACTTCTGAAATATGTCTGAGCCTGGAAGATTGTGAGAACTCCATAAATATTTATGGAATAAGAACAACGACTAGGCTGCAGCGAGATAAGCATTCTCATGCATTACTGCTGGAAGGGCAAATTAGTCTTTGAAGAAGTCAATCTGTTCATAAGTACCAAGTTATTTTCTTTAATTTTGTTAGGTTTCAATAGTTTTACATGCAAACCCTTGTTCAAATAAGTCTACATCTAATGACCACTCCCAGGCAAATAATGAAAGACAGCAACAAAAATGGATGCATAAGGATGCCAGTTGCTTACGCTGGATGACTGTACATTACGCCAGTGAGAACAACTTGACTTGCTTGGAACATGCATAAAACACTTGTGCTCTGTAAGCCCTATGTTATAGGCTGGGATATCTGACAGGTAAACAAAAGAAACAATAAATCAAAACAAGGTGCTACAAAAAGTCTGGAGTTCTCGCAACCCAAACGGCAGCTCATTAATATTTCAAAACTTTGAGAACCTGCCAATCAGTTCAGGTCTGGTCAGGTTAGGTCTCAGCCTTTCAACATCCTGGTGATCTCAACTAATCTCCAAATCAAATGGTAGACACTTACCAATTAAAGCACCCAAAATGCACAAGGAGGATTGCAGGCAATATCAGAACAGGGAAGCAAAGAATAAATTTCACTTCACTGGCTTTCTTTGTAAACCCCCAATCTTTGTGAGTCAGGTCTCCCCCTAGCCCCAGATTTTCAACTCATCACTAGCCTAATATTCTCCACCACAAATGACAAAAATTCTCAAGGGATTAATTGTACTCTTATCCCCCCAAACCCACTAAAAAGCTGCTAAAATCACTGCAAGTTCCCACTAAGTTCTATCTTCCTGCAGGCTATGAGATGTTCTCTCAGGAGTGTAATGAGGAGTGTAATGAGAAGGATTCACTGTAAGAAGAAAAATAAATTAAAGGGGGGCAAGAAAAAGAAAGAAAAATTAAATTTTCTATAAGGGACTAAACTGTGAACCCTTATAACCAAAATCACAAAAGAGCACTTCATTCAAGCGCAAGTTATCAAGTAGTATTAAGAGCCTACTTACCAAATGAGTCAGACATCAGAGCTAATCAGCCAGGAGACCCTGTCAGCAGGGTAACTAGAGACCATCACAGGAAGTTTTCATTTAGGGTGTATCCCATCGATTCTTGAAAACTGCAACTTCAAACAAAATGGCATTATCACAATACATGTAAAAGCAGGTTGTTGAACAGCCAAGCTTGTTATTTTCTTTTCTTTTTTTTGGGGGGGGGCTATATCCAGCAGTACTTGAGTTTACTTCTGGTTCTGTCCTTGGGAGTCACTGTTAGCAGCACTCAGGGACTATGTGTAGTGTCAGGAGTCAACTAGGGTAGACCCCAAGTATCTTAACACTACAACCATATATATACTATCTCTCTAGCCCAGAACTGGTTCCCCCTTGCCCGCCTTCTTCTCATAAATATTCTATCAAAACAATGCTGAATGAGATTATTCAAAGATTTCTATACAAGCCACCACATATATAATAGTAAGTAACATACCATTCATAGAATATTTTTTAAATTTTTATTAGTGAGACATCATGAGGTATAGTTGTAGACTTACAAATTTTTGTGTTTGGTTTCAATTATACAATGATCAAATACCCATCCCTCCACCCGTGCCCATTTCCCACCACCACGGATCCCAGTATCCCTCCCACCCCCCATCCCACCCTGCCTCTGTGGCAGGGCATTCCCTTTTGTTCTCTATCTCCTTTTGGGTGTTGTGGTTTGCAAAAGAGGCAATGGGTGACAATCATGTTTGGTCTATTGTCTACTTTCAGCATGCTTCTCCCATCCTGGGAGGATCCTCCCAACACCTTTATTTGGTGTTCCTTTCTCTATCTGAGCTCCCTTTCCCCCTAGTATGTGTGGTTAGCCTCCAAGCCATGGAGTAAAATTCCTGGTGCTAATCTCGGCCATTATTGGGTGTTAGTCTCCTATTTTGTTACTTTATGTTCCCCAGACATTCATAGAATATTTAATACTTCCCAGAACATTCCATTTACTGATCATTTGAACTGCACATTAAATCCCTAAGGTAAACAGAAAAAGATCTGAAAAAGACAGGTAAGCCAGATCTTGTTCACATTTACAGACCCAACTGATTACTGAAGGTGAGCCAAGGAACTGGTAGGACATGGTCTCACACCCATTCTTCACATCAGGCTGGCACAATCTTCTTTACCTGATCTCAGAAGGTGTTTTCACACCTGCTTTAGTCAGTGGAATCCAACATGGTGTCCAAAGACAACCATGCTGACCCACTTTTCTTCATTATATCCTAATTATAATATGTTTACATAGAAAGTGGCATGCCTACCCATACCATGACATTTTGACAATTATTATGATAATCTCCATAGAGCCTTATAAGGAATGGAAAGGCCTTTCCTGTTCCTGGGAAAACCCCTCCCCATCTCAGAAAACTTATGCATAAACCAATGATGATAATAGAAAGCTAGATTCCACTTACAAGTGGGGCTACTCTGTTCACTGCTTGCTTAGTAAATTCTCTCTATTCAGGGGTGAAGGCAGATGCTCGGTGGTTCCTCCCAGCTCTGTGCTCAGAAGTCACTCATAGTGGTGCTCAGAGGGGCCATTTGGTGGTGGGATTGAGCCCAGGTCTTTTGCATGCAAAGCATGAGCACAACCCAACTCTCTAGCTCAATGAATTCTACTTTAGTTGTCTTTACCAACTCACTCTTGAATTCTTTCCTGCACAAAGTCTAGAAATTTCTGTGTTTGGGACTTAAGACAACCCCTTAAGAGCAGGTCTCAACCACCTTCCCTTGCATCAAAAGTATCAATATTCAAACTGAGCTGAGAAAGGGACTCTCCTTAATTGTTGATGGGAATGCCAACTGGTTTGGTCTTTTTCTGAAACAATGAACATTCTTCAAAAAACTGAAAATTGAGCTCTCATTTGACCTAGCAATAACACTTCTGGGAATATACCCTTGGGGCCCAAAACACACAGCAGAAATATTATTTGCACTCCTATGTTCATTGCAGCACTATTCACAATAGCCAGAAACTGGAAACAACCTCAGTGCCTGAGAACAGACAAATGGATAAAGAAATTATGTCACATCTACACAATGCAATAATTATCAGCTGTTAAGAAAAATGAAGCCATGGAATTTGCCTATAAATGAATGGATATGGAGAGTATCATGCTGAGTGAAATGAATCAGAAGCAGAGGAACAGATATAGAATGACTGCATTAATTTGTGGTATATAATATACCAAAAATTATAATATAATATCCACGACCAGGGAAAACAGGGGCTAGGAGAACTGATCAATGGTTGGAATCAACCAGAAATGTGTGTGCAGCAGAGGGTAGGTAAGATAGAGAAGGGAACAATATGAAAATAATAGCTGGAAATGATCATGTTGGACAAGAACTGAGTGCTAAACGTAGGTAAAGGGATATTCCTGATAACCTTTAAGTATATGTATTGCAAACCACAACGCCCAAAAGGGAGAGAGAGAGAGACAGACAGAGAGACAGAGAGAGCGAGAACTTCAGGAACATGAGGAAATGGAAAGATATCCCCTGCTCATGGATCGGGAGAATTAACGAATTAACATTGTTAAAATGGGAATAGTCCCCAAATCATTGTACAAATTCAATGTGATTTCTGTAACAATACCCATGACATTCATCAAAGAAATGAAGCAAACACTCCTGAAATTCATATGAAACAATAAGCTGCCACAAATAGCTAAAGCAATTCTTGGGAAAAAGAAAATGGGAGGAATCAAATTCCCCAACCTCAAACTCTACTACAAAGCAGTAATAATTAAAAAAGCATGGTACTGGAACAAAGGCAGAACCGCAGACCAATGGAACAGGGTTGAATATACAGACCCCCCCCAATATATGATCAGCTAATCTTTGATAATGTAGCAAGAAATGTGAAGTGGAGCAAGGAAAACCCCTTTAATAAGTTGTGCTGGCAAAACTGGACAGCTACATGCAAAAAAAATGGGCTCAGATCTCTACCTAACATTATGTACAAAAGTAAGATCAAAATAGATTAAAAACCTCAACATCATACCAGAATCCATAAGGTACATTGAAAACAAGGTTGGCAAAACCCTCCACAACATGGAAGCTAACGGTATCTTTAAAGATGACACACCACTAGCCAAGCAAGAGAAAACAGGGATAGACAAATGAGACTATCTTAAGCTAAGAAGCTTCTGCACCTCAAAAGAAACAATGACCAAAATGCAAAGACAGTCTACAGAATGGGAAAAGATATTCACCCAATACCTATCTGATAAGGGGTTGATATCAAGGATATCAAAGCACTGGTTGAACGCCACAAGAAGAAAATATCCAACCCCATTTAAAAATAGGGTGACAAAATGAACAGAAACTTTCTCAAGGAAGAAATCCGAATGACTAAAAGGCACATGAGGAAATGCTCTACATCATTAATCATCAGGGAGATGCAGATCAAAACAACAATGAGATATCATCTCACACCACAGAGACTAGCCCACATCCATAAAGAACAAAAGCAACTGGTGTTGGCACAGATATGGTGAGAAAGGGACCCTCCTTCACTGCTGGTGGGAATGCCGACTGGTTCAGCCCTTTTGGAAAACAGTATGTTCGATTCTCAAAAAAATTAGAAATTGAGCTCCCATTTGACTCAGCAATACCACTCCTGGGAATATATCCCTGAGAGGTAAAAAAGTACAGTCGAAATGACATCTGCACTTCTATGTTCATTGCTGCACTGTTCACAATAGCCAAAATTTGGAAAAAACCCAAGTGTCCGAGAACAGATGACTGGTTAAAGAAACTTTGGTACATCCACACAATGGAATATTATGCAGCTATTAGAAAAGATGAAGTCATAAAATTTACATACAAGTGGTTCTACATGGAAAGTATCATGCTAAGTGAAATAAGTCAGAAAGAGAGGGATAGACATAGAAAGACTGCACTCATCTGGGGAATATAAAGTAACAGAATGGGAGACAAATACACAAGCTTGGAAGCTGGCAGCACATGCTGGGGGGAAAGGCAGCTCAAATAAGGAAGGGAACACTAAGTAAAGGATGTTTGGAGGATTTGCTCAGGATGAGAGATACATGCTGATAGTAGACTATAGACTGAACACGATAGCCACTCAATACCTCTATTGCAAATCAAAACACTCTAAAGGAAAGAGAGAGCAAAAGGGAATGCCCTGCTACAAAAGCGGGGTGGGGTGGGCGGGAAGGGGTGGGAGGATGGGAGGGTTACTGGGATCACTGGTGGTGGAGAATGGGCACTGGTGGAGGGATGGGTACTCGATCATTGTATAACTGAAACCCAAGCATGAAAGTTTGTAAGTCTACAGCTGTACCTCATGGTGTTTCACTAGTAAAAATAAATTAATTAATTAAAATTAAAATTAAAAAAGAAAGAACGAGAGTGAGCGAACGAGTGAGGGGGGAGGAAGAGAGAGGAGAGAGAGAGAGAGAGAGAGAGAGAGAGAGAGAGGAAAAGTGCCTGCCATAGAGGCAGGCTCAGGGTAGGGGTGGGCGGTTGATGGGAGGGAAACTGCAGACAGTGGTGCTGGAAAATGTACAATGGTGAAGGTATGGGTGTTGGAACACTGTGTGACTAAACCCTAATCATGAACAGCTTTGTAAGGGTCTATGTCACTGTGATTAAATTTAAAACAAAAAAAACCCAGACTGAGCTCAGCTTCTTCTTCCCTTATCATGCTAAGTTAGCACATGTCAGTTCTATAAACACAATATGAGAAAATAATTAGACGAGATAGAGACTAACTGCTTGCTCGATCCCTTGCTATCACTTGGGCATAGTGTGATTTAGAGCAAATTATTAAAACATACCTTATACCTATTCCCTCCTTGTCAAGTGCGGATAGGAACTGAGTCCTGTGTGTCAGGTATGTGTTGGGGATATATTAGTTTCCTACTGCAACAAATTGCCATATATTTGCCACAACAAAATACCACATGCTGAGTTTAAAATAACACAAATGTATTAACTCAGAGATCTGGAGTTGAGATGTGTACAAGAGGTCCAAGAAGTCCCATTGGCTAGAGTTCAGTGCCAGCATGTGGCATTCCTTCTGGAGTCTCCAAGGGAAAATCTGTTC